TTTACAGATGCATAAATGAATTTAGGCTTGTTCATCTCTCCACAGGGAAGAAGAAAGCTGGGTTGCTTTCCATGACTTTCCTGATTACAGAAATTACAGGGAAATCAGCTTCTCCTTTTCCCAGTCCTGAGAGGGTGCTGGGTGAAGGAATACTGGTGTGTGTGGGGGTGGGGGGGGACAGGAGGTAAAAGGGGATTGTGGCTGGGACCTTCTATGTATTCTATGTGTAGATGTCAACCCATCACTGTAGCTGGGCAGCACAAACCAGCCCAGGCCACTTTTGCCCCATTTTCATACTTGCTTCTTGTTGGCAGACTCACAGCACAGGGGAAATGTGTGAGGTGAACAATCACCTGAGCACTGAATGTTTTCTGTGTGAAGAAAAACACTTCATAAATGCACAATTTCTTAGGAATGGGTTTTTGGTTTTTTGGTCATCTGCTGCTCAATGAAAACAAGGTGTGAAAACACAATCAATCTGAGATTAATGTTTTGTATTTCTAAATGGTGTCATTGTAGCTGCAAAGTATAGGTGTAATATCCCTAATGAAAGGCATTTTAATAATCAGTTCAGTTATTTTTGCAAAAGCAGTTCCATTACACTCTCAGTAGTGCAGCTTCATTGACATCAGGGAATTACTTCCACGGGTGACTTGTAAATTTGCCCCACAATGTGGCACACAGTACAGAAGAAGTGCATTTGTGTGTCTTACCAAAGGAGGAAATTACAGTGTTGAAGTTACAAAGCTCAAATTTAGCCTGGCATACGTTTTTGCCCCTTCCACAGCTTCTCCCATATCTCGTTCTGGGTGGATCACTGTTCACCTGGAGCCTACAGACGACCTTGCAACAGGTGACACAACACCAAGTTCCCTTGGCCTGAGCACAGTTTGTTTTCTCTGGGGAAAGAAAGAGCTGCAGAGAGGGGTGTTGAGGGGCAGAGCTCCAGTCAAGCTGATCCCACCTGTAAGAGATCAGGTGGGATCTGCCCACCTGACCAGGTGGGGTCTGGGCACTGCCAATAATGAGTGTAAAAACAATCCTGGAACACAGGACAATTTGGGATGAAAGGGACCTTGGGGAGATGAGCTCTGAGATCAACCCATGTTACTCACGGCTTGAGAAAGACAGCACTTGGAAACCTCTGAGATGGAGCCTGCACAACCTCTCTGGGCAACCTGATCCACTTCAGGCTTGTTCTCGTGGGGAACAAGTTCCTCTTATGTCCAGTCTGAACCTCTTGTTTCACTCTATACCTGTTTTCCCTCTTCGCCTTGCCATGCACCCCTGCCTCATGTTAGTGAGCTCCCTGAGGTGTGGGAAGGTGGGTGCTAGATCCCTCTAAAACCTTCTCTCTTTATCAGCTGTCTCATGTGAGACAGGCAAATGTCAAGAAGCCATTGCCACCTTCTGTTTTATTCAAATAGGAGTCAGTGAAATTCCTGCCCCATGGATACAAATAAATTCATTATTAACTAAGCAGTCTTTTCCCTTCTGTATTGAAATAAAGTAACAGCTCCTCTCCCTTCTTATTCATAAAACAAAACAAAACAAAAAGTTTAGGAGAGAATCTTCCTCTGCATCTCAAAGTTGTCCCTTTTCTGTTGTCTGTCCAGCACAGATCAGAAATGGTGCTGCATTTCCTCTGTGCCTAGGGAGTGACAGTCCCTTTACCCAGGGACTGCACCCTTGGCCAGAAGAACAATCCATCTAGTCTGGAACCTACGCTGCTTCCTAAAGCAGAAGGGATCCTCTAAATTATAGTCTCTATACCCATGACTAAAACCTATAGTGCTGTACAGAGGGATTTAGATCACAACTACGTAAGAATATTTAATCCTGGCACCTCCTGTCTTTGTAACTGGAATGTTTTTTCAACAGTGTTTTTTTTTTTTTAGATCCTGTATTAATATTAATATGCTGATGAATTGTGTAACACAGAGTGGCAATTACAGTATTTCTTTGTGATCTAGAAAAGAGGTGGGGGAGCAACATTTGAAGGTGACATCAAGTTATCTAGGTTAGGCTGAGCCAATGGAGAGAAAAGAATTCCCAGAAGTTTTGTCCAGTCTGAGCATGTGGGCAGCGGAACAATAATGAGTTGGTGCTCATTAATGCAAAATCATGTCCAGTGGATGGACTGACTTGAAGTCCTCTGCACAGTGCCTGGTCCCAAATCACAGACAGAAAAAGTCAGGGAAAAATTGGGACATTCACCAGGAAGATCAGTGTAAACAGTGGTCAAATCACAAACAAGATTGGGAATGGGATGGAAAAGAGACTCAATATTAGGACACTTAGTGCCATTAAGATTTAGGGATTCCCCTGGAATACTGGATCTGGTCCTGTTCAGCCTAATGCTCCGCAGAGGCCTGCTCAGAAGAGCTGATTTGGCTTAAGGAGCTTACTCAGACCTCTCTGCAGACAAGAGTGAGCTTTGGCTCTCTCCTGGGAGATATTTCAAGAATCTCATAATAGGTTATTGTTCTCCACCATCCTTCAGAAAAACCTGGTTTTCTCCATTAAAACAGAGGCTAATGTTAGCCCTTTACCAAGACACAGAAATGTAAGGTTTGATTAATGAAAATTGTTAGGGAACTTGGGAAAAGACCCAAACAAATGGAGACTGAGGAAGCTGTTTGATTTACACAGGGAACAATCAGAACTATACAAGCTAAGGAAACCAAGAGCAGGTAGACCTGGCACCTCTCTTGACTTTTTCATAGTAAACCAGCAAAGCCCATCCGTGACACAGAAAGGCAGGGGATGAGAAGAGAGGAAGGCTGTTCCACAGAATGAGGAGATGAAGCTTCACTGCCTTGACAGCCTTGCAGAATTAGAGGAAATGTCATCCACTGCACAGCTGATGAGACTGCCAGCAGTTAGGATAGAAGGGTTTAAACACGAGAAGCCTCAGGGCTTGGGTAGCTGTGCTTCAGATTATGGCTTAAATTTCTTCATGCAAAAACTGGATTCTCTTATTTGCCATTCTTCCTCCACCAGTGAGCAGTTTATTCACTGGTTACCTGCTTGCACACCTTCTGTGTTTCCCAGGTGTCTGGCCTGGCTTCCTCCAGAAGCAAAATATCCCACCTGCTGGATCGGTCCTTGTGCTCTCTTCAGCCATTTCTGGGTGGGAATACAGTTGCCAGCTGTGTAGGAGGAAAGAAAACCACAGGGACAAGCCTGAATGTGCAGCTTGAAGAAAAAGATGAGCCCCACCAGCCCCCATCCTGCTCCCTATATCCTTCTCTTCTCACTTCACATCCTCTTTTAAAAGGGCCACAACGGCTCCCAGCTGCAAGAGCACACCCACCACTCACCTCTCCCTCCCAGCTCCCTTCAGCTGAGGTGCTCCCTGCATTTTACAGCTGTTACAGACCCCACAGTCTCCAGGGTAGGCACCTGCATGAGCACTGGCAGTGGAAGCCAGAGGGGATCTCACATTTTGCCTGTTTGGAAGGTCCCTCCGAGTGTATTTGGGATAGATCTGCCCAGTCCCCAGCATACACACACACAAAACCTTGTGTGTGGCCCATATAGTTTCTCTTGTACCTACAACGCCTGTTTCCTCGTCATAAGAGGAAATCTGGTGGATTTGCAAAAAGGCAAATCATAGCAAACCTCATCTTATTTTTAAACTTCATGGAATTATAAATCACCTGGTTGGTTGCTTCATTCTCTTCTTAGGAATCACAGGGATTATTGCTTCTAATTCCCCGGCTCCACAATTCCCTGCCCCTACCTTTAACAGAATCTCTGTGTTTGTCCTCTTCTAGTCTTCTTTAAAAAAGGAACTAAGCTTTCTGAGCTTCTCAGCATCACCCACCAATTTTTCTACCCATAGAGTAATTCTTCCCTTGGTTTCCCTTTTTGTTACTATGAAAAATGCCCTTAAAATGCCTTATTAGTATAAGCAAAGAATAGGAGAAGAATTTTATTTTGTGCTTTAGACTTTCCGATTTTGTCTCTGTACGCTCACGCTGAGGGTTTTTTTAATGTTCATTTTTAGATATTTGACCTAGTTTCTATGTTCTGTACACTCCCTTCTTGCACTTGAGATCATTGAAGAGCTTGTGATTTCACAGATATCTGCTACTGCATTTTCTGTCCTCTCTACATACTGGGTTATTTTGTGATTCTGCTGCTACTGTTGGTTGGTGGTGGTTTTTTTTTTTTTTTTTTTTTTTTTTTTTTTTTTTTTTTTTTTTTTTTTT